TGTGTGTGTGTGTGTGCGTGTGTGTGTGTGTGTGCGTGTGTGTGTGTGTGTGTGTGTGTGTGTGTGCACGAGGGCCGCTGTGCCGATTTTTCATCTCGAGACCTACAAAAGTTGCAGGGCTGAAACTTCGAAGACTTAATCTACAAGCACGTATGGGCCTCCATCCCCAAAATGAGCAGTCTTACCCGCACGGTGCCCGCGTAAGAGCCCGCCAAAATTCTTCACGAGTAAACTGCCAACTCCAGAACTAGAAATGCTTGGGAGCTGAAGTTTTAAGGGAATATTCCCCACTCAAGTAGGTATTAAAGAGCTCAAACCCAGCCCCCAGGTTTGCGTAGTTTCCGCGTACGGGTCCGCCAATTTTTTCCGGACAGGTTGATAACTCGGGGATCTGAGAAGCTACAAAGCTGAAATCTTAGGGGGATGTTCCCCGTCCAAGTTGGTATTAATGAGCTCAAACCCAGCCCACGGGTAAGCGTGGTACCCGCTTACGAGCCCGCCAAAATTTTTTCGGGCAAGTTGATAACTTGAGGAATTGAAAGCTAGAAGACTATAGTTTTAAGCGGATGTTCCCCGACCAAGTCTTAATGAGCTCAAACCCAAACAGCGGGTATGCGTGGTACCCACGTGCGTGCCCGAGAAATTTTTTTTCCAGTAAGTTGCTAACTCAGGACCCAGGGAAGCTAGAGAGCTGAAATTGCAGGGGGTGTTTTGTGCCAGTTCTGGCGATCAGTCTTAATTTCTTTAGCTAGAAGCATTTGCCGGAAAAAACCGATGTCGGTAGCGACAAAAACTGCGGGGAACTATGCAAAAAAAAACGCATCTTCGCACAAGCAGCTCGTGCATTGCCCAATTATTTTTAAATCCACTTGTTGACAAATGGTGGAACAGATATCCGCAATAATTTTTAACCCTCATACTTCCACACCGCTATGATTAATTTGGCATTACCATGACCCCTGTTTTAAAAATTTCAGTATTAACAAATATAGTGCTGGGACAGTAACGCTATTTCGACGACAAACGTCGAAGGTTCAACTTCGCCTGGAAGATAACCAGACTTTTTTACACACAATTCGTTCATTCATTTCGATGATAAATTGGTACTAGTGCATGCCAATGAGCCAATCCAGCTGTCAGTTTGCTTCTAAGCAACCCTCGAAAGAGAGATTCATCAAAATCCTTATCAGTGGATGGTTACTGTCGGCATTTGCTATCACTCGTTCTGCCTACCTGATTTCTCCGCTTTTCGCGGGAAATGAATATGAAGGGGGTACAACTGAAAAATTCAAAATATGTGCATTCTTATTCTTATAAAATTTACACGTGAAAAAAAAAAAACGAATAGTAACAAGAACGAATTTACTTTGATTTTTCGTACACGTACAAGTGGTCACAATGCGTTGCATATTTTGACACAGAAAGGAAAAAATGGCGCCCTATATGTGCCGAGATGCAAGAAAAACGGTATTCCAACGACGAATGCTGAAAGCGCAAAAGTCGCCAAACAGAGGGGCAATTTTACAACGAAGATGAAATAGCCCAAATAGGCTCAATCACAACATTCTTGTGAGATCGGTTGTATCGGCGCTTTCCAGATTGAACAGCGAGTGCTTGATCATCTGCAGCATTAACCCATGGCTCACTTCGCAACTTATCTAAAGCACTTCTACTTGGAATATTTCCACCAGAAACATACAAACGATTGGCGACGCGCACTGGGCGGGCCCGTGCGATTATGCGTTTTTGCAGTGTTTCGTGCTGCAGTAAGACCACTCGAAATTCCGCTAGCTAGAAACCTCTTTGGTCCTCGAATTTCGGGAAGTTAATTATCCACGCTATACTTGGACACGGAACATTCCCTTGAAATCCCAGGCTCCCAGCTCTCTCAGTTCCCGAGTTACCCAAATTCCAGCCAGAAAATTTCACGAGGTCTCATACTTTCTTCGTTATAGTTTTTGCCTCAAAAAACCCGCAAAACCCGCTGCTTTCTATATTCCTTCTTCGCAAAATCAGGATCGCCTTCAGCGCGACAAAATGTATTTCTTCGCCTTTTTTTTTAGCTATTCTAATCTTGTCTTACGCAATTTGACACATACTCGTTACAGACTACACAGCCGATATTTCAGGTTTCGTAAGTCTGTGCTGAAAATACATCGGAATATAAATGCATACATAACACACACACAAACACATATATAATATATACATACATACACACATACACACATACATACACACATAAATACACATACATACACACATACACATACAAACATTGCACAATAATATGCTTATAAATTGGGTGTGTATAAAGATGCATGAAAAACAAACCTTTTTGGTATCCTTGATCACTTTCGCGAATTTGTCTGTTGATGCTGAATCAGTTGAACGGGGCGAATGAGGTGCAATTTTGCCTCTCCTCAGCTATAATTTTTTGATTTTCACTTATTTTGTTTTCCACCCCATTAAACGAATCACATTTGAGAGACATGAGAGTGACGCGAGGAGCAGTGGTGCGAAACTTTTTTTTTGGGGCGGGGAGGGGGGAGAAAGGGGCGTTTCGTTCGCTGATC